CAGCACGGCCTTTAGCTTTGTTCCTTTTTTCCTCAATGGATTTACTAGATTTACTTGTTTATCTAGTTGCAACCGAAGAATATAATGAGCAGGAAATCACATCTCCCGGAAAATATAGCGTCATGTTTTGCTATTGAACTTTATGAATATTTTGCGCATCATTGTTTTTTCATTTGTATTTTCAATTAGTAGAGCTAATACTAGGTAACGTTTTATCTTACCTTAATCCCAGTGCTCACAGCTTTCCTTCCTTGAAATCCAATTCCATGTCAAACATTCGCGCGCCCCCAATCGGAACCGCACCATGAAAACATGATTTGTCATGAGCCTAGAATGAGAATATCCAAATGTCAATAACAATCAGTCTTATCTTCTTTACTTTTATATAAATCATTATGCAATTATTTATTGACTTATTTAACATCCTTGTGATGGTTATGATTATAAGGATAAGAAAGATAAATGTAGATTCGCTCTTTGATAAGAAATTGTCCGATATGCGAGGTTTATAATATTGGTTTCTATAGCGAGTAGGTTGGCTACCAGTAAAAATTAAGTGCAATACAAACGTAATTCAATTCGACGTCATACGCTCGAGGTCCGTACATAAAAGACCGAAGGAAGTGCTTTCATACGGACCGACCTATAGCCGGTAAATAACATTTTAATTTTATTTATTTATTTTTCTGCAGCTTTGCTCGCAACCTAGCTGCAGGATACCGTGGACCGGGCAGATCGTGAAATACCGGACCGCGCGCTAGCCAATCACAACGCGAGAACTATAAGGATACCGGACCGAAAAAAACATTAAATGTCTGTATTGAACGTCTAATCTTATTGCGAAAGTTAAGTTTATGGGCATTTCGTGTTTTGAATTTATTGACATTGGTAGATTTTGTCATGGTGGGCGAGCTCAATATTACAAATACCAATTGATTTAGACTGCAAACTTCTCATGAGCTACATGCAAACAGTTAGGTTAGACGCGGCAAAAGGATTGACAGGCATTAGATGCTTACCTTGTTTTGTAGCCTGTACAAACAACAATTTTAAGGAATTAATTTTGGGACATTGAAAATGATACTGACACATGAGCACATTGCGGCCTATTCAATGTATTTCARTTCACTTGTTTTTTTCCTTTATGCTAAGATTCTTACCTGTATACAAACACAATCAGCCCAACGACAAACTAGGACAAGAATKTCTTACCAAAAGTACTGGTGATTTGAAAATCACAATTGTTCTTACTCACTAAAGTTCGGATCCTTAATTTTTTACAGCTTCAAGTTGTCCTGTGATATTTGAACTACGAAGTAAAACTCTATACAAGATCCAAAGCAGCAACTTTCTACCAAACTTATCGTTATGTTGCAGACCACATAAGCAAAGAGCTTCGACGGTGGAGTTTTTTTGAAATCATCTTTGAAAATGCTTCGTGTGCGAATCAAATATATGCAGATTTGAAAAAAAAATATAGCATGACACGCTGGAATGTTATGCATGTGAAAAACATTGTGTTTGGAAAATTAATTTAAAATTTTAATTTATTTAAATTTATTTAATAAAAAACAAAGGATTTTATACTCCATGTGTTTTAAATCAGTGAGCCTTGCCTTCTCAAGAGAAAACTTTTTTCCATTGTTCAGATTTTTGTTCGAGAGCTAAGCTAAATACATTTTCAAAGGTTTAACCTGCCTGCTAGTAAACTTGACTTGCATGTTTTACCTACCTATATAGCCCGAGTCTATCTTTCTATTTCTTTTCTTTCCTGTGATTCTTAAAATTTCAATTAAATATTTGAGTTATAAACTTGCAGACATATCARCACTGAAAGTCGAAACACTAGAACCCGCCATCTTGGATTAGAAACCAGGCACTTTATGTTAACGAGGACACAGGA